GCAAATTTGCTTGAGGAAAACAGAAAGATTGGCACAATCCACTACTTATTATTAACTCAGAGCGGCAGGTTTTGGGTTTCTTTCTGAAATTCCTGTGTGTGTGTGTGGGGGGGAATTATAGCAGCGAAAATTTAAACCCACCCTCCTTTAATTTAAAAGTATTTACTTTCATTGCAAACGGGGGAGGGGGTGGCTGTAAAATTAAGTATGCAGTGGGCTTGGTGGTTGTTGATTTTTTTTTTTAAAGATCTGTCTGGATGAGGTTCTGGCTTTCCTGGAAGTAAAAGTGGATTAACAGCTTAAGTTCGTGCGCGTCTACTCAGAGGTAAACGTCGTGGCGACTTGCTTCGGGGCGCATCGCAAGCAGAACCGCGGCTTCAGGCTTAGCCGGGAGAGAAAAGCGGCTTTTACTTCTGAGTAAACGCGCGTCGGAGTGCGCCGCTCCGCGTTCATATTGTCGGGGGCAGGGGGGAATCGAAGCGGTCCCCAGTTCCCATTTAAAAAAAAGGCCCATGTTTTTAATGACAATTATTTCAGAACAAAAGTACAGTACAGTATTGCCTAGAAGGAATGCTGTAAACAAAATAATATTTTTTTTTAAAAAAAGCTGTAGGGCACGATTCAAGCAAAACGAGATGTTTGGAAGCCTTTCTGTCACGTAGATTAAATAACTGTTGAACTCTTTAATTTGTAAACCGCCTGGAGTAGTGTGTTCAGTACAGGGTCGGTATATAAATCCAACAAATACACATAAATAAATAACTCGGTATTCCCATGCACCATTCAGCCTAAGAATGGTAAAGCTTTTTCCGCTTAACACAGAGGCTTTACTTCTGAGTAAGCATGCCTCGGACGGAGCTGCGGATCCCTTCCGCTTAAATGGATAGCATAGGGAACGGCTTCGCTGCGCGCGTTTCCTCAGACGAAGGCGGAGGGGCGCGGCGCGAATGGGATTCAGCGGTGGGATTGTGGCCCAAGGACCCGATCCCATAGCCGTCTCCTCGGAGGTAACGTAGCCTTTGACAGCGCCTGCAAAAATCCCGCGCGGGATCGCACGGTTTGCCTGGAAAGGCGCCGTGCGATCCCTTCGGAGCCTCCTTGAGCCGGCGTGCTTTCGTTTCCGCGCCGCGAAGACATTTCATTTCGTGGAGGAACCGTCACGATGCGATTGCTGATTCATGCGGAGCGAGGTACCTCCTTCCCCTCCCCGGCCGTCACTCCCGGAGCGGCTTCAACTGAATTGAAATTGCGACCAACCCTTCGACAAGGAGAAAACAATTCTGTAGCAAATGCAAAATAATTTTAATACACCCGGGTGTGTATGTGTGTGTATGAGACACGATCAAATGTTGCTTTCACTCTCTCCCCGGACGACTTGATTAATTACTGAAGATTTGTTTTTATATTCATTTATTTATTTTTTTTATTCTTTTAAAAGAAGCGGCTATGTTTAAAAAGAAGGCGAAGCGTTCCTGCTTGGCTGCAGTTTCGCTCCCCCGCTCTGCGCCAAAACAAACCGGGCCCCTCCCGGTCTGGCTTTAACTGCAGCTCCCGGGATAATGAACTCCATCTTTCCGAGCCGAACTTAACTGTTTATTTAGTGTCACCCTGCATTACCATCACCGGCACTTTCCTCTGAACAGAAGGAGCTGCAGGCTTTCTCCTCCAGAAAGGAAATTCTTTTTAGCTTAGACAGGCTTCAGCATCCAGGATGTACATTAGCGAAGGAGGAGGGGGGGCCGAGTAGCCCCTATTTTGGCTTTAAAAATAAAATAAAGAAACCATGATTGAAAACTCTCTAAAAAAAAGAGGAGGGGAATTTGGGTTGAAAATGCACGTGTGTTTTTATCAAGAGTTTGGGGGGGAATAACTGGGTGGGAATTCTGGGAGTTGTAGTCAACGGGTTACTTCGAGTGCCTTTCCCAGCCAACTTTACTCGCCAGTTTTCTATGGATTTTAAATGGCTCTTGAATCCTTGCTTTGTTCCTCGTTCCTTTTCCGTCTGCAATCAGCGATCTAAACAGAGTGGACACTTTCAAGCGTATTTCAACAGCAAAGAGAGGGGGGGTGTCTTCGGGGGATTTCCTGGAAAAGTAAGCCTGGTGGGGTTCAAATGAGGCCTCACTTTCTCTGTGAAGGTCAGGAAACCGCAATTTGAAAAATCAGTTTAAAACGGACTTCTCGAAAATCCGTGGACCTTCAAAATTCACTTCACTGTAGCTGGCTCGCTGCCTCCCTTTTCTGTACAGGAACGCCGCACGGATTTCAGGTGGCAGGGCGTTCCAGAGGAAAACGCGTGTAGGGTTGTTGTTGGGTCCCCCACCCGTGGGTGAGGGAGAAGTATAGGACGGAGTGGGAGAAATGAAGGGGTTTGGCCGAATCGTGTGACCAGCCGCGATCTGTACTTCGAAGGAGCCAATATATTTTCCAACAGAGTGAAGTGGGTAGAATTTAACACGCACGCACAAACACGCGTGTATGGTGGCAGCCGCGGGAGAGACCAGAGATGGCGAGACGAGCGTCCTCCTGTGGGAGAGCGGGGAGAGAGTGGTGGAGGTAAGAGGATGATGATTTTGTCCTGCTTTTATCTAGAGTCAGGGGTGGAGAGCAGACATAACAATCAAGAGGGGGGGAGTAATGGAGGCCCAGGCAGATTGCCCGCCCCCTGTCAGACAAACCGGCCTGGCTCCGGATCAGCGGAGCAACGGCTGAGCAGCGATCGGTCCTCACCGGATGACCGGGGCCCGTTTGATTTCCCGGGACCTGCGCTGGGGATCGGGCCCTTCGCTGGCCAGGTCTGGCGCGGGCCTCCGGATCCGCGCGGCCGCGGGAACCGAGACGAGAGAGAGCTTACACGCGGCAGCATCTCGACACGAAGGAAGGAGAGAAGGAGAGAGAGAGAGAGAGAGAGAGAGAGAGAGAAGGGGGTCCCAAGGGTGCAGCTGAGACCACACAAGGCTCTGGAAAAGCCCCCTGAATCGACTGCATTGAGAAAAATTGGGACTAAGTGATCGCAAACCCGGGGTACAGGCAGCGGAGCAAACCCAAAGCGGGGCCAGAGCCGGGGAGAGGCAGAGAGTAACCCACAAATAATTTATCCACCCTCACAAACACCCAAGGAGGGAGAAAACGTTCCTTTTTTCTTCTTCGACTACAGCTTCCAGGTTACCCCAGCCAGCGTGGCCCAGGTGGGTTCACTGACTGGGCTCCCTTGGGGGTTGCAGTCCAGAAAATGTAACTTCTCCCCCTTTCTGTGATTTCCACTGAAACCTCCTAAACCGGTTTTAGTAGGTTCCTGGCTGGACGGCCTTTCCCGTCACCGACCACGGACAACAGTGGAAAAGTGGCTGCTGGATGGCCCTCAAAGAAGGATCTGGGGATTTGGGAGCGGCCAGCTGTCACCCCCCCACACACACACCTCTGTCTGGCCTGAACGCAGCCCGGGCGTCACAAGAACCTCAGTCCGGGCATCTGTAAAATGGCATCATCATCTCCTGTTCCGGCGGCAGATCTTACTGACCTACGCTATGTCTGAGTAAGCCGAAGAGGGAGGTGAATTCCAGTGACAAGCATCCCCATGACCAGACATGAGGACAACTCCCACATCCACGTGTTTAGACCTGTCGCCGAATCTTAGCCATGTTTAATACTAAGGCGTGTTGATTTTAAGGGGACATCTTTCCTGACACGTGTTGGGACCTGAAGACTCGGGTGGGAGGGTCTACCTGCCTCTGTTTGCTTCAATCACCCTCTCTGACCGTGGCTGTATTGCTTAATTAATCTTAATTCCCCCTCTCCCCTTTAAATTCGGTGTTTGGGTGTTTTCAGCGGGACTCCTTCCCAGATAAATAAGACTATTTATTTATTTTTGATACCAGTTCCAAGAGTCCCAGAGTTGTGATCCGCAAAAAGTAAAGCTTCCAAGGCTCTGGACTAGCCCCGGTTTTGCAGCCTGGTGCAAATGTACAGAGGAAAGAAAACTTCAGACCCGCACATTCTTTTGCTGCGCTTCACCCACCCAGAGCCGGCCCTACCATTGGGAAGAGGGACGGTTTTGCTTTCTTCTCTTCTGTTTTGAAGCACCAAAAGGCAGAAGATTGTTAGCGGCAGTGATCTTTGCCTAGATTTCCTGCCCGGGAGGTGGTCTTCGGAATGGTCCGTCTCGGGTGCCGAAACAGCTTGGCCAGCCTCGATTAGTTTGACCCTCGACAGGGTGGCAGCGCTGCTGGTGCTGCTGGGAGCGGTGGGGGGGGGACGGGGACCATTCCTTGCTGATCCTTAGGCAGCCAAGTATCTTGGGTCGGCTGGACCCGGGTCTGCACGTGGACCCGGGTCTGCACGTGCACCGATTCCCCCCGAGTCTGGATTTCACCCACGCCCGTCCCCGAACTTCTCCGTCCTGATCTGCTTGGAGAGACCGCAGCGCACGCGGGAGCGCATTCACACGGCGCCGCTTTTAATGGCTTCCTCCCAACCTTCCGTTCTTGTCCTCCTCTTCCTTCCCCACCCCCGACCCCCGTGCTGTCTGAATGACACCCGTTTTGTTTTTACAGGTGTCCGCAGTGCAGCGAGGGGCTCAGCAACCGGAGTCACAGCAGCCTCCTTGGGTTTCTCACTAATATTATAATATATAATATAAATTCACTCGCTTTGGGCGGAAATGCTTTCGAAAGGATGGATGGCAC